ATCAAGTGTTAGATACGTTGGACTGGAAGGACACCGCCAAGAATGATGCCACGGTATTAGCATGGTTTCATACCAAAGTGTCTACCTCCGTTCCTGTGGATGAGATGCCTGCCTTTCGACTGAGTGCCCAGACGCGTACCCTACATCAAAAGAACCAACCTTTCTGCCCTTATTGACCTGACACTTGTTCACTGAACCTACGATCACCTGACTGTCAACATTCCTGATTGAGGAGTGTACATACGTTCACTGCGTTTTAGGAATGTACATACGTTCACTATCAAAGTGGCAAAAGTTCTTTTTTTCAAACTGTACATACGTTCACATACGTGTACATACGTTCATGTTCACAAAAGTCACAGGGACGCCCCTAATCCTGTGACTTTTGTTTTGTTGTGTTGGTTCATGTGAGCGGGGGATTAAAAAAAGTTGAACCCATAGTAGTGTTGTGTTGTCTGTAGGATGAAGAAAAACAAAACAGGATCGCCATCTCACCCAAAAGACAACTATCATCCTTTGCTTTGACGACCCTCCAACCCACACCATGAACCCGTCTCCTCCTTTCCTCCCTCCCTCCTCCTCCTCCTCCTCCTCCTCCTCCCACCTTCCTCCCTTCACCACCACCCTCCCTTCACCACCACCACCCCCACGTCTATGTGTAGAACAACAACAACAACAACAACAACAACAACAACAAAAGATTTTTGACGCGCTTCTTTCAATGTCGATCCTGTTCACCTTTTACGTGCGCTTCTCCGGGTTTTCCCCACCTCCCCGGAAACGGATGCGCCGCCATCTTGGATGCGCGCGCAAGTCCCATCATATACTGCGCGCATGCGCAGTCACGTGACCAAACCGAAACCGGAAGTGACGTCAGAGATCCTCTCGACCAATCAGAAGCCAGGAGCGGTCCCATACTGATGTTACTAACTACTTTGATGTATTTATTAAGATTTTAGATAAAACCATTGATCCTATTTTGTTGTATGGGGCTAGGATATGGGGTATCTCTAAGTTAGACTTTATTGAAAGAGTACACGCCAATGCATGTAAACGAGTTTGGGGATTTAAGATTAATTGAGCAAATGCAGTTGTGTATGGTGAATGTGGTGGATATCTATTATTTATATAAACAGTAAATATAAACGGTTATAACGAACACGCTTATAACGAACTGACGGATATAACAAACTTACTTTTTTGGTCCCGACTATTTGCTGTTGTTATACTGTATATATGCTTATAACGAACTACGGTTATAACGTACTACAATTAGTAGTCCCTTTGAGTTCGCTATAACCGTACTTTACTGTACGCAGATTAACATGATACCGTATTGGGTACAATTATTACACAGGCCTCCTTACAGATACCCAAGAACATGTTATGAAATGACGCTATTGTATGATATAGTTCTGGAAGCGTAGATTGAGTCTTATCTGTTCAGGAAAATATGAATGAATTTGGTTTGGGTTATGTAGAAAAGGAAGAATACCCTGAACATTGTATAAACATGGTCACTCAAAAACTAAAGGATGTTTATATACAAAAATGTTTAACTTGGCATTAAGATTATCAACAAAATGTGAATATGTACTGTTTTAAACTTAGGTTTCAAATTCTTTTGAAACCTATTTTGCAAAAACAATATAATGTATTTTCCTCAAATAAGATGCTCATCGCATACTCTTAACGTTGAACAGACACGTATTAGAAGATAGAGTTTGTAGGTGAGGTGAGGTGAAATTGGGTTTAACGTCGCGTCCAAAATAATTGCACTTATACAGCGACGTGCATGCACGTGTGTGTGTGTTTGTGTGTGTTTGTACTAGTCCAGTCTGATGCCGATTTATAGTGCTAGCTCACTTTGATACCATGCTGCAGTTTAACATGAATACCCCACTCAGACACAGTATACTGACTCCGAGCCGACCAGTCCATGTTTTAACCCCTTTATGCCGAGCGCCAGACAGGGTAACAACAATTACCATCTTTTAACGTCTTTTGGTATGACGCGGCCGGGGATCGAACCCCGGACCTTCCGCTCTCCGGGCGGACGCTCTACCACTAGACCACGGAGTCGGCGTAGAGTTTGTACATTGTGCAAGGAACCGGAAGTAGTAGATGAGTACCATCTTTTCTTTGTATGTCCAGTATTCGAGCATTTGCGTATTGAATATTTATCGCCATATTTATACCAGCCACCAAACATTTTAAAGTTTATTGTACTTCGGAAAATGTCAACGTGACATTATATGTATTTCAAGCAAAGAAATATAAAAAACTACTTGTTAAAGATTCATTAAACGTATGTTTATTACACTATCCATTGCAATCTGCACTGTATAGGCCTGTGGCCTTTCAGTATATGTGTAAATAAAGATTAATTGATTAATCCCCTAGACAGTCAATTCCCTTCAATTGATCTACCCGCCTGAACCAGAAATAGAAGAGACTGGTGAATCTTTCTCTTTATGTCGGTTTATATTCCAGCAGCTCTAGGTTTAGTGTCTTGAATTCACAACATTTGACTACAATCGAGCATGTATTTCTACGACTCTTGCTCAAACGTTTGTTGATCAGGGTGACAACATTCAAGGACAGTTTTTTCTTTCAAAATGTTTTAGGGTGATCACGAGGCCATTTCTAAATTTGACACATCAGTTATCAAAATGACGAGTAACTTGGTTTCCTGTGTTTGCTCTGCCTTTGCATGTGTTTGTGACTGATGCCATCGGCGGAGCAGGATGGGATCACATTTTCGCGAACTACTGGTATCATTACCATTTGATAATGATTCATAAACGCATGCTCATCATAAAGTCTGAATCGTACAATGGGCTCTGCTTTAGCAGAGATTTCTTATGATTATGGAAAGTGTTTTGACGGTTTTATTCACAACACAAGCTTTTCTGTTTTACTCTGTGATCCCTACTTGATAATATTTTATGGGCGGTTTGGTCAGCTGTGTTGATGGGTGGCCACATCTCCGTGTTGTCTGTCCGACACGACATGCAGTAACTGCAGTTCTCTTGTATCCGTTTTTTTTATCGTAGACTCGCGATTAAGTTTCTTTTGACGTGGATGTTGAACTGTAGAATACAGGTATAGGTAAAGAGACAGTTCAATGGTCTGCGGACACGTGAGTGATTGTGCAAGTTCAAAAGAGTTACATTTGTTCTGTCGTGTATGCCTTCATGCAAATAATCAGTTTAACAGTGAGTGATTTTACCGCGAATTGGCGTGTTTCTCAGTTGCGTGTGGATAAAATGTTGGGAAAATGACTCAAGCGACCATGATCAAAGACATGAACCACTATGGCGCAACCAAAGAACGCATTGTCCTGACAGCACAGAAGAACATTGATTCCAAAACCAGAATTTACCCATCAACATTATCATCGTGTTAAAAAGATTCTCCATTTATTTTGTGGATCACTGAGAAGAACACGGGTACATGTACATGAATTGATTGATATGTATTACGTAGGAATTGGTTGATGACAAGGCACCGAAACATCGCCTTTACAGTAAATAAAGAAGTTGTAATCCATACATTGTGTCTACTTTGTCCATCTGGATGGTACATAATTTGGTTCAGGTGAAAGCTGTGGTAGAGAAAACATCTGGAATGTTACAGTCAATGAAGGCCCTGATGTCACCTTTTCACAAGGCTACGTTAGGTGTGAACCCAAGGCTTGGGTCCAGGTATTGTCTCAATAACTTAATGTTTGATCCTAAACTCTAAACAGGAACTGTACTCATTGAAAGGTCAGCATCCTCATACCACCTCCAGCCACTGCTCCCAGAACAGTTTGAGCCGTGCCCGCAATCCAGCTGAATACCGACCGGAAGCCATCTCTGAGCTTGATACGCAGCCCTCTGTTGACACACTGTGAGGTCACCTCGTCGTTGTTGATGGACACAACATATTTGTTGCACTGACTTCCGGCGTAGAACTTGACAGTGAGGAATCTCCCGTACACCTCCATGCTGGCATTCCTCCACACCCAGTCAGGCTGGCCCCCTATCACAGAGTAGCAGCACTGGGGTACCTTCCGGTCCACGCCCAGCAGACGGTGCTGCTTCTCTTGGATGACCACTAGGCTACCCGACCGCCCCGACTGGGCAACAGCTCGCCGACTAAACAACACGGTACCACGACACACGAGGCCATGCAATGGGAAAACCTGACCCTACTGTTAATATACTATGAAAGGGTAACCGTGACATATTCTCGATATAGAAATCCTGATAGGGGTGTAAGTATAGAGTACTGGGGAACAACCATACCTTGCAATACCTACAAGCACAGTACTATTCAATCTCAAAAGCTAATCCTCCAAGAACAAATATATAACGCGTTCCGTACGAGATAGGCGATATACAAGGCATCCTGTCGGGTGTGGTGTTGTGTGATAGAGAGTTCACATTCCAAAATGATCACAAACGTTCCAAAGTTTCAAAAGAGCGATGCGGGGTATTTACAGCGACGTTAATGCACAGTTTTCGCGGATATGAAATTATTCTTCTTGTACTTGTGGAATCAAATCAAAAGTTCCAATAGGACTGACATACTTCATCTTAGATAGACTGATGACTTGATTCACCACAACATACCTACCATGCCTTGGTTGTGCGCGTGCTTGTTGTTTAACGGCACTCATCAAGATGGCCAGAAATAATCTACTCTGGGCTAGGCATTCCGGTGATTGATATTATGACCATTGATCCACGCCTTCGGGTACGTGGCCACGTCATCAACCAAGTCACCGTGCCTGACCAACTAATCCATTGAGTCGCCTCTTGCCATCAGCATGACTGACTCCCATATTTTAACATACACTTACGCCTGTCGTAGCGCTCCGATCGCTTTGTGGAACGGGGCGCAGGTCTAACACGCAGCCACCACGGTTCTTGTCTTGAGACAAGGTTGTGGATGGCGTGACCTTGCTGATACTGGTGGGATATGAACTTAAACGTAAAGAAATGTACACTTACAGCGGACACCATATCGTCATCGTCACCCTGCAAATACAATGATCAGTGTCAAATGTTCTGATTTTGTACCTTTGAAATTAAAAAGAAACCACGTCCTGTTTCCAAGCTTCGTAATAGTATTAGTAATAAACATTGTGGGATTCTTACTCTATTTGTTTCAAAAAACTGGCCATGAAAATAATTTTTATATATGCCCGTGTATATAAATGCCAAAAAATGAAATATCTGCTAAAAGAACAGCTAAATGATGACACCAAGTATCTCCCACTGTTTGATAGTGATTCATAAACACGTGTTTATTATATAGTCCGAATCGTAGAATGGACTCCGAGATGTCTTGAAAGATTATTGAAAGGGTTTTCTCGCTTTTATTAATATACACAATTCCAACAATACCGACAATTCTTTCCTGACTTAAAGTTTTCTTCCATGGACACCAGCATTGTTCGAGATTTCAAACTGATGTACTAGGAGTGAGTGACTGAGTTAAGTTTAACGCCGCTTTTAACAGTATTCGAGTTATATCACGGCGTGTCAGCTTAATGTGAGAGGAAAGCCCGAAGTGATGCAGGTCTCAGACGTTTATCACTTCGGTGAAATCCACGAGCACGGGTATGGTGCTGACAAACCTAGAAACATAATCGGAGCGAACCGGGATTCGAACCCACAATCATAGGTTTCTGGCGTGCCCAAGGGACGCATCTCTGCACAGCGAATCGTGGCGCCTTAGACAACTGGGCCACCCGTGCCCCCAATGTGCAAGGAACTGCGAAGGCTATTACATAGCAACGGTGAGAAACCTAATCACTCATCATTGCAACAGATAATAGGTTATGAGTGGAGAATGAAACTAGACTCCATGTGTGGGGTCCTGCTTCAATCGATGTAATGACACTGCATATAAAGAAGACGACCCGTAAAGCGTGTCGTAACAGGCGACTATTCTTGTGATAAGACTAGCGGGACCGAGTGGTCAGGCCCGCTGACTTGACTGATGCATGTCATCGTATCCCAATTGCGTGGATCGATGCTCATGATATCAATCACTGGATTGTCTGCTCCAGACTCGATTATTTACAGACCAACGTCATATAGCTGGAATATTGTTGAGTGGGGCGTTACACAACCAACAAACAAACAAAGCAAATGGAAACCTGACCTTACGTAATACGTTATAACACGTCCCATTTTAATTTCTGGAAACCCAAAAGTCCAGAAACTCTACGGTCTTTGCCAAGTATCGGTCAAAGTTATTTACAAAATTAAACATGCTGTTTTTTAATGGGAACATACCAAGGAAGAAAAAATGAAAAAAAAATGTTTAAAAACTTAATATTTACACTATGTCGCCCATGGGCAGGCCCATGGGCGAGAATATATTCCTTTACTTAAAACTCATGTTTTCGTTTCGCAAATACATTAAATGTATTCATTCAAGTATCATGACACAAAATATAACTCATTTTATAGCGATATTGAAACTCATAACTCATATATAACTCATTTTATAGCGATATTGAGTGAGTGAGTGAGTGAGTATGGTTTTACGCCGCTTTTAGCAATATTCCAGCAATATCACGGCGGGGGACACCAGAAATGGGCTTCACACATTGTACCCATGTCGGGAATCGAACCCGGGTCTTTGGCGTGACGAGCGAACGCTTTAACCACTAGGCTACCCGACCGCCCCATAGCGATATTGAAATATTTCGCCCATGGGCGAGAAAAAGGTTTGGCCCATGGGCAGGCCCATGGGCGAGAATATGTTCCTTTACTCAAAACTCATGTTTTTGTTTCGCAAGTTATACATTAAATGTATTTATTCAAGTATCATGACACAAAATGTAACAAAATTAAACTCATTTTAACTTAATTCAACTATTTTATAGCGATATTGAAATATTTCGCCCATGGGCGAGTAAAAGGTTTGGCCCATGGGCGAGAATATTTTCCTTTACTCAAAACTCATGTTTTTGTTTCGCAAATACATGCGGGTGTTCTTACCATTTTCATGGCACATACTGTAACTCAATTTTACTCAATTCAGCTATTATATAGCGTTATTGAAATATTTAGCCCATGGGCGAGAAAAGGTTTGGCCGAGAATATTTCCCTTTGCTCAAAACTCATGTTTTAGTGTCGCATATACATAAAGGTGTTCTTAGAAGTTTCATTTCACATAATTTAACAAATTTTAACTTAATTCAACCATTTTACGGCGTTATTGAAATATTTCGCTCTGGACGAAAAAGATTGGCCCATGGGCGAGAATATTTACCTTTGCTCAACAGTTTTAGTTTCGCAAATACATAAAGGTGTGTCTATAAGCATGACACATGATTCAACTATTTTACGGCGTTATTAAAATATTTCGCCCATGTTTTCGTCAGTCCCTTTAAAGCATCAACTAACCGTGTGCAAAGTATATTGTATCGTGTTAAATATACTCTATATTATATCATTACATTACTAATTAAAATAGGGCATTTGATTGGATGTTTCCTCTATAGAAGTTCTACAAATTTCACCTGTTTTACATTTTGTAGCGATCTTTAATGAACCCGGCCTTACCTCTCAAAACGTTTTGACAGTTTATCATACGAATCCATGTGCGTGTACTCCAATTCATTGGAGTTATTTTCCACAACATTAAAGTTTAGTTAGTTTCTATTTCATTTATCATTCTATGCCCCGTTGATACATCACACTGGGCAATTACGTGACACTAGGTATGCAATATACAGGTACGCGTGCGCGTATTTTAATGAAAAAAAACTATTCGTCTTTTATTGCAGAACGTTTGGCTGAATATCTTACATTCTAACGAAATCTCGAAATAATTATTTAATTACATGCGGTGGCGAACTGACCAGTGGAGAATTATGTTTCAATGCGATTGAGGAAAACGTGAGTGAATATTGTGACACTAAAGCACCTTTTAACTGAATTGCCACTTGGGGTATGAAAATGGTAACAGTTCAGATAAAAACAACAGCCATCTTATGATAATTCTCATATTCTCATTAGGACGTTGTATCTAATTACAGTGTCGGCGTTATTTACAAGTGATTCTACAATACCTGCTGTCGGTCAATTACGATCTACCACACCACGCGTGAATAAACAGTTATGCAGGCGTTGCTGTGGGCAAACACCTAGCCTGAAAATTTGTTGTTTGTTGTGGATACATATTTTACAAATGTTCGTTGATATGTGGATATATTAAGCACAAAGACAAACAAATGTTTATGAAAGATGAATTAGTGCCTTGATATATTCATCAAGATGAGTATCATCGTTTAAGGGGGTCATTCAATAAACGTATGTTTGGAGGAGATATCAAAGGAGCCGCCCAATATACACAGTGTCGTCCGGTGAACTACCACCCCACCCTGTCCATAAGAGTTATGTAATCGGTACACAAATATATTTGATGCGATGTCAGTGTGGAAGGAGTTTGAATTACGTCCGCCACTGGCCACAGAAATCCTCAAAGTACAGTAACAATCAACAAGGTCAATGCCGTACTAATTACCTAGTGACGCACGTAACAACGACTGCCAATAGGGAAAATGATGAAAACAAATTGAAATAGATTTTAATAAAACATTATTGTACTAAATAACTTGCAAAAGCGGTGCCCAAAATTGTTTGACCGTGTTATGTGTGTTGTAGACTGACGAATAGCATGTAATTGTCATGCTGTACGCATGGTTCAATATACAAATTCAGATATACAACCGGTATGAAACTGAGAACTGAGATGCCAAGTACAACCTGCATTCACACATGGAAGCAATATACTTGTTTGTATGCCATCTCCTCTGAAAAATGTATCACTAAAGTATTTGCATTGTAAAAAAAATATAGTAATGTTAAAACTTGGTAATTTGGTAGGTCTCCGACAGATATGATTTTCAGTTTTTTTACACCTTTGATTGATACGGATTACGTACATGTAGTCTAGTCACTGTCTCTAATGTTTCTGCTTGTTAAAAGTTTCAAATGTCCTGTTATAGCACTGTTCCTAAAATAAGGCAGTTTCTTTTATCGGGTATAAATAGTTGATTCGTCTTGTCACGCAGTCATTTTTACTTGATCGAATGATTTCCACAAATAATTTCGGCAGAGAGTTTTGTATTTTATTATATACATGTATTGTTAATTGTAGAAGATGCTTACATCACTGTATCTCAGCACGCAAATCTGATAACATTCAAACATGTAATTAGTACACAGTTAATTGTTACATATAATTTCCTCCATATTCCTTTTTGAACAAAAAGCCTACATGTATACTGAAACCGGTGTCCACTGTTAAAAGGGTATTAGTGCAGTCGGTCATGGTAAATGGAGAGACAATAATAAGGTGATTAATTATAGTCTGTTGCAGAATATGCGGTATAAGTGTAGTCATTTATACATATGCACATTACACATATACAGATGAAATACACGATATGATACAGTGCAAGAAAAAATTAAGATACGGTTTCTATTAAAAATAATTTTTCGATTATGGATTTAATTAGCACGTTTAAATTTTCAGGCCAACACGGTTGAGATACAGCATCGGCATACTCAACTAGAGTTGTTTTCTGCCGGTCGTAAGTTCTTTGTTTGACTGAGCACACTTGTGTCGGTGTTGCGATATTTTCTTCTCTTTGTTGGCAGCCTGCCACCGGCCTGAATTTTGAGAAAGGTCTCAGCATGGGACTGTTAATTTCTTCTTAATGATGTCTACAAGCTTACAAACTTGTAGATGTTGGGGCGGTTAGGACCAAATTTTTTTTCAGAGTGTTAGTGGTCCTGGAACCCACAGTGTCAAACAGGTCCTGCACAATACGTCCATCAGATTCTACCGTTCAGCAACATTGTCACTGAATTTCAGAACTCTGGCATGATAAAATAATCAAGGATTTCGAAGGTGAACGAGGGGAAAGGCAGACGCACGTGGATTTGCTCTCAGGTTATTATTGTCTGGAGTTCACATTTTTGGGCATTTCATATACTAATTGAACAGAGTT